GTGTGTGTGTGTGTGTGTGTGTGTGTGTGTGTGTGTGTGTGTGTGTGCGTTATTATAGAGTTCTGGAACAAGATAGAATATGTTTTAAAGACATTATTTTCTTAAGTTTCTTTATAATTTAATAGAGTAGTTATCATTTTATTATTTTTGAAACTATGACCAGAGATAGCCAGTGGATTAAAGTCTAATCAATCCGCTCGGATTTTAACTGGTTTTTTACCGAAAGCGCCGATGATAAGGATGCACATTACTATTAAATTTTTATGGAAATCGATTCATGTATATAATAACTAGTTTTTGTATCAATTAATTTTAATGCGACTTACAAGCGAATCGGTTCAATAAAAAAGCAAAATATGGTAAGCAATAAACATTTGGTAATAAATAATATCCTTATATTTGAATAAAACTCGATTTACAAATATTTAGTTCTATATTGTTTTTGCCCTCGATTTCTGGCGTTAATAGGTTTAAAACCCGGGCGCTTACCCATCTCTGTCTATGACACTCCTCTTATTTTAAGTTACAATTTTAAAAAGACTACAATAACAACGTGCGTAGAATTTAAAGTACATACAAAGTAAAAGTAATACTAAATAGTCTTGAAACTTTGACCATTAAACGCTGCACATGAATTTGGATCAGCCAATCACTTCAATGCGAACGGCATATTGCCGCAATCAAAGTAATCAGCGATCAGCTGTTTGAGCCTACGCGCACAGGCTCGTTTGATCATTCAATAGGAATTTTGTCTCAACTCACAGTTTGGTACATTAACCTAGAACTAACTTGACTGTTTTAAACTGCAAATATGACGCTATGGAAATGACGTTAATTGTCTCTTTTTAAACTACATTCAATAAGGGAGAATTTTCAGATATGTGTGGCATAATGTAGAAAGATATAGGTACTATATTACAGGACAAGGCATTGATATGGACTTTTAGCTAAACTGAAGAATAACGAGGACGTTCCCTTTTTACAAATCCCTGGATTTCTCGGAACTGATTTTTAAAAAATGTGTATTATTTATTGAAATTTGAGTACGGACACCGGCACACCAGACTACACATTTTTGTTCGAAAATCGCCTCCAGTGCTACGGAACAAGATATGTCAATGTGTAGCTTGATGTGCAGGTGTGTGTACATTGGCGTCAAATTATTATGTCCTATTAAGTATTTGCAATAAATTACAACAAATTATTATCTCAAAAAATAATATTATACATAGATGATTGTGTTTTTATAGATATTTACGTATTTACATGTTTAGCCATTTAAAAAATAATCGTGAATCAAAATTATTAGAAAAAAAACAGTAAAAAAAAAAAAAGAACTTTTATATGCATTGGTGACGAAATGGGGAAATCCAAACGAAGAAAATATTTGTACTTTAGACAGATTAACTCCCTCGATTCCGATTACTGGTAATAACGGACGAACCCAAATTAAACACAAGAGAGTAGATTCTATTTTAAGCAATTAATACCTACTCGATACCGGTGAAAGAGATTAAAAGACTTTGGCTTTACAGTACTTTAACAATATTGAGTACAGGCCCCGTCACCAATTAGTACAAATCCAGTGCACTGCAGCCGTCGAAGTGGACAAAAATTCCAAACCTTTTGCAGTAAACCAGATTATTCAATTTAAAACAAAAAACTTGAACTGTCTATCTTTAAAGTATTTACTTAAGTAACGTGGTGTTGCAAAATACCAGCCTATTAATACGATAAACTACGTTAGAGCTAATTTACGATATTAAAGTCATTGGTCAAGATTTTGTTACTAACCCATTTGATTAATGGATTTGCTATTCAACAAGTTACGTTAACGTAGTTTGATTTTAATCTACTGTCATTAAGGTGAAGAAACTAATACAAAACGTTCAGCATATTGTGTTAATATTGTATAGAAGATAATAAAAACCTGTATAATGCGTTTTGTGGTCCAATGCGCGCCTTTTACGGTAACTACATATAGATGTTAACTACCCGCTTGGTTACATTTTATTACGTAATTGACAAATTATTGCCACAGTATAACTGGAACAAATAGTGCAACTTCCCTCGGTTCAGCGCGTCAATACCTACACTGCGTTCAAAGCGTAGGGTTGTCACATTATTATTTTACCTGTACCTACAGGTTGTAAACATAATTTGACGACATAAGGTGCTCATCACAGTATTTAGACAAGGCCCTCGGTGGTTGAGTGGCTTGCACACCGGTTTTCATGGTGACGCCATTTCTGAGGTCCCAGCTTCGATCCTTAGCCGAATCAATGTAGAAAAACTAACTTTTCTATATTGCCTCGGGTCTGGATGTTTATGGTGCAGTCGTTGTTTCTGATTTCCATAACAGAAGTGCTTTAGTTACTTACTTTGGGATCAGAACAACGTATGTGATGTTGTCTAATATTTATTTATTTAGTATTCTCGTGCTTTATTGAAATAACCTTTTCTAAATGCAGTATTTACGTATTTGACATTTTTATATCAGTCACGAATTTGTACATATAAACATGAATAGAAATTGCTAAGTATTTCAGAATTCGAGGCACCCTTGGTCTAACAAACATAAACACAGCAATAAATACGTCTAATATTTGATGTCACTACTTAAACACCGAGCGAACGCTTCAATTTTATAAAGAATAGTGAGTGCGACAACCCTCGCTATGCAACGTGAATGCACCTCAGGATTGTGTGAATATGTGCGTCTGTACATGGCACCCGGCTGTCGTGCACACATACAAGCTGCGCTACAATACTTGTCTTATTATACTATGGTATTGCTATTGTTTTATACTGAATTTTTTGCTTTGACTCTTGGCCTATAGGTACCCATTAGATTTTTTAAATACTATTTCATGTTTTATCTAGAAGGTTACTTACTTTCTTTGAATTTCTTTTAACTTTTATTTTAAAGTACTCCTTCGAGTGAACTAGTGTTGGTATTGCATCACGTTGTTTGATATTACCTATGTGAAGGCGAATCACTACCTAATAAAGAGTAAAATTGATGGATTTTTTATTGTTAGCTCTTTTGATGAATTTGGCTTTATCCTGTGTAAATTTGAGACGGGGCAGCAAGGCCAGCTACCTTATCGTTGTAGTTACAGAAAAACGGTTCTAGAAGACTATCCATGAATTTTGAAGATATTTTTATTGAGACGTTCACAGATTTTGAAAAAATGGTACAGTCAGCAAGATAAAAGGCAATTTTTACAAAACTTTTTTTTATGCCGTTCAATCCGGTCTATGGTAAGAATCAATAGTCTCTTTGGAACCAACTGAGGTAAGAGTACTCTAAATATCAGAAATCGCAAAAAACTTTTTACCATACATTTTGTAGGGACCT